GAGATGTGAAGAAAAAGGAAGTTCAAGTGTAAGGTTTTATCTACACTAGATAAAACAAATGAAGAATTTCCTGATTCCCTAAGCAGAACCACTCTTGCTGCTTCATTGTTATTTTTCTGTCATGTTGTATTGAATGCTTTGTTTATACTATCTATTAGACTTTGAGCTTCCCTGGGGCACAAGCTGGACTTTATTGATGAATAATGAAGTTGTGATTCTCTCCGGAGTTGGAGAAGAAAGTGGGGATCAGAGGGTAACAGGCATTGCAGAAAAATAGAAAAGGGCAGTGTAATGTCTTGAATATGTGTTGGAAATCCTCTGTGGATATAATCCCATTTGGGATGTTAATAAAGCCTTTCTAGTGCAGGGTATATCGTACACCAGCCACTTTTGAGAGTTAAAAGGAATAGATCAGGCATAGAAGCAGGCACTAGAACGGGGAAAGATAGGCACCACAGAGAGGTCTCCACTGAATGCCGAGATTGTCAGAGAAGTTGAGATAAGGATTACCCTCCAAGAGCAAACAAGGAAACAGCTCATAAAGCTGGCACGCTGAATTTGGGCTTTTAACTTCAGAAATGGGGAGAAACTAAAATTCGGTTCCTCTTAAACCACCCACTTCTGGGCCATCTGTTACAGCAGCACCAAGAGACTAGGGCAGGCGGGGAGTGTAAATGTAGCCTGGAGAACACTGGCTGGGTTTGAATCAGGGAACCATCCCTTGAGTCGAGGGCTTGTCTATTAACCTCCCCCAGTCTTAGACTCTGTAAGATGTTAATAATATCACCTCATAAAATTGTTGCAAAAAAGAAATGTGATCGGGACCAGGCCTTTGACAAAGCTGGGAATGTAGGTGTGTATAGATAACTTATCTCAGGGTTTTCTGTTTCTATCTTTGACCCTTTCACAAGTTTTATGTTAAAGTATTTCTATGAACAGTTTAAAACTAGATTTTGGACCAATAATGAGAGTAGTGATACCAGGAGGGTAAGGGGACATGGGGTAGAAAGGGGGAACCAATCGCAAGGATCTACATATAACCTCCTCCCTGAGGGATGGACAACTGAAAAGTGGGTGAAGGGAGAGATTGGTCAGTGTATGACATGAAAAAATAATAATGATTTATAAATTATCAAGGGATCATGAGAGAGGGAGGGTCGGAGAGGGGGAAATGAGCTGATACCAAGGGTTCAAGTAGAAAGAAAATGTTTTCAAAATGATGATGGCAACATATGTACAAATGTGCTTGACACAGTGGATGTATATATGGATTGTGATAAGAGCTGTAAGAGCCCCCAATAAGATGATTTAAAAAAAGGCAAAACTAAATTTTATTTTAAAATATAACATATGGGGTCGCTATGAGTCAGAATCAATTCCATGACAGTTTGTTTAAGTTTGAAAACTTATCAGACAGAATTGGCTTCTTTTGGTACATCGTTCAGTGAATTTTAACATATGTATAAATTCATGTGACCATACCACCATACCCAAACTGCTCCCTCACCTGTAAGTATAAATGCATAAAAATAATAGCAGCTTTATTAAGATATGATTGCTATACCAAAAAATCTATCACTTAAAGGTACATAGTTCGGTGATGCATAGTGTATCCACCGAGTTGTCTAACCACCACTTCTATCTAATTTCAGAACGTTTGATCACCTTAAAGAGAACTGAGTTCCTGGTAACTACTTTCCGTTTCTATAAGTTTGCCCAATCGGGACATTTCATATAAATGGAATCATACAATATGTCACTCTCTGTGACGGACTTCTTTCATCTAGTGTAATGGCGTTAGTGTTCATCGATCTTATAACTTCGTTCCCTTTGGGGAATAGCATCTCATTGTGTGAATATACCACATTTTCATGATCTGTTCATCAGGTGGTGGACATTTGGATTGTCTCCATTTTTTGTGGTTATTCTAAACAATGTTGTTATGGATATTTGCATACAAGTTTTTGTGCGGACATATGCTTTTGATTCTCTTGAGAAGATATATACCTAGGACTAGAATTGCTCGGTCATATGACTACTTAATTTTTAAAACTTTGAGGAATTGCCTGTCAAACTGTTTCTTAAAGTGGTTGACTGCCCTGCTGGCTCCTACCAGCATTTTATGAGAGTTTTAATTTTTTTACATTATTGCCAGCCCTTGTTATTTGTTCTTTCCTTTTATCGTGGCTTTCCTAGTGCATCTGAAGTAGTATCGCAGAGTTTTGATTAGAATTTCCTTCATGCCTAATGATGTTGAATATCTTTTCATGAGCTTATTGGCTGTTTCTTCTTTGAAGAAATGTGTATTCAGATCCTTTGCCCATTCAAAACATTTTTCTATCTTATTATTGTGATTATTCATTCCTTATAAATGCTAAAGAGGTTTAATGGATATTTTTAATCCATTCAGTGGGTTTTTGAAGTACAAAACTAATTTTTTTCAGTGTTTCAATACTTATTTTATTAAAAAATCATTTTATTGGGGGCTCTTATTTCAAAATTTAAAATTTTGATGAACTTAAATTTATCTAGTTTTTTCTTTTACTGCCTGTGTTTTTGTGTCATATCTAAGGTCCCATTTAATCATTCAAAGGTTTATTTTTATTTTTTCTAGTTTTAGCTCTTACATTTAATAGTGTAATCCACTTTTAGTTAATTTTTATGTATGGTATGAGGTAGGGATGCCAGCATCATTCTTTTGAATGAACTATCTTGTTATTTTAGTGCCATCGGATGAAGACTACTCTCCCCCATTTGAATCTAGGGGCTTCCTTTTGCACTCTCAGTTCTGTTCCATTGGTTTATCTGTCTATTCTTATGTCAGTACCACATTGTCTTGATTACTATACCTTTGTAGTACGTTTTGAAGTTAGTTCTCCAGCTTTGGTTTCCTTTTTCAAGATGTTTGGTTATTTGGGGTCCTTTGAATTTGAATATGACTATGAATTTTAATATCAGCTTGTCAATTTTTACAAAACCATCAGCTAGGATTTTAAAAAATGAATAAATCACTTTATTGTGGGCTGTTACAGCTCTTATAACAATCTGTACATCAATGGTATCAAACACATTTGTACATATGTTGCCATCATCATTTTCAAAACATTTTTTTTCTGCTTGAGCCCTTGGTATCACTCCTCTTTTATTCCCTCCATCCCTCCCTCCCCCACCCTCTCACCCTCATGGACCCTTGATAAATTATAAATTATTACCATTGTCATATCTTACACCATCTACTCTCTCCCTTCACCCATATTTCTATTGTTCATCCCTCTGGGTTGGTAGGTGGGGGGTTGGTTATACGTTGGTCATTGTAGTTGGTTCCCCGTTTCTCCCCCTCTGCCCCCACCTTCCCCCTACCCTCATGGTATCACTACTCCCATTACTGTTCCTGAGGGGTTTATCTGTCCTGGACTCCGTATGTTGCGAGCTCTTATCTGTACCAGTGTACATGTTCCGGTCTAGCTGGATTTGTAAGGTAGAACTGGGGTCATAGTAGTGGTGGGGAGGAAACATTAAATAACTAGAGGAATGTTGTGTGTTTTGTTGGTGCTATGCTGCACCCTGGCTGACTCGTTCCTTCCTTGTGACCCTTCTGGGAGGGGATGTCCAATTGTCTACAGATGGGCTTTGGGTTTCCTCTCCGACACCCATCATTTGCATCAGTATATCTGTTTGGGGTCTTCTGATGAATCAGCGAGGATTTTTGTAGAGATTGCATTGAATCTGTAGATTATTTGCGGGGAGAGTTACTAAGCAATGTTAAGTCTTGTACTCCATGAATAAGGATATTTTTCTACTTTCTGCAGTCTTCTTTGCTTTTTTTTCATTGCTAATTTGTAGTACTCAGTATTGAAATCTTGTACTTCTTTTGTTGAATGTATTCCAAAGTATTTTATACTTTTTGATACTATGCTAAATGGGATTTTCCTCCTAAAATTCATTTTTGGATTGTTTATTGCTAGTATATAAAAGTACACTTGAATTTTGTATATTGATCTATATCTAGCTCTAGAGAAAGTTTTAGCTTCAGTGAGGGGCAGAAAAGACTTAGAAACTATTTCCATCTGGGCCATTAAAGGTTTCTGTTGATGGGCGAAAGGGGAGGAGGAAGGGAAGGGGAGGGGAAAAAAAAAAAAGGAAAATTAGCAGATTCTGGGAACCCAAGAGGCGAGCAAATTTTGGGAATGATGAGGGCAACAAATGTATAGATGTGCTTTACACAATTGATCTATGTATTGTGATTAATTGTATGAGCCCCAATAAATTGATTAAAAAAAAAAAAGCTCATAATGATAAAGTAAAAAAAAAAAAAAAGGTTTCTGTTGTATGCTATTTGACCAAAACGATTAATGACAAAAGGTAGCATTTGTCAGCACATCCTTACGCTTGGAACCTCCCAGGGGCTTCCTACATTGCAGGAAAACAGAGCAGCGCCCATAGCCTGGTCCCTTAAGGCCCCAAATAACTCGTTAATCTAGACTCTTCATTATCTCCCCCCTCGCTCTGTGTTCTTGGGCATCCGAGCGTTCTTTTCCTCCGTGCTTCCTCTTGTCTCAGTCTTCATCCACACACTTCCTCCTGCTCGAGCACAACCCTCTCTGCCTACTGTCCTCCTTCTACGGCCACCGCTAGAGAAGACTGCACGGTGCTTCCCGGTGGACAAATCTGTGACTTTTTTCAATGTCTATCTCTCCTACCACATTGAACGTTTATGTTGTTCATACCTGTGTCACCACTGTCCTGCACAACATCTGGCACATAACTCAATAAAGGGAGCAGGCAAACTGTATACCAGGCACTGTACACACGTTATTTTGCTTATGCATTATGGTATACATTATAAATGAGGCAGCTAAAGCATAATGAGGGAAGTGGGCCCTGGGTTATATAGCTAGTAATTGACAGAGCCACGACCCCAGTGAAAGCAGGTAGATTGTTTTAGAGTTTACAGCAGCCCCTTCCAGCGAGAAGTGCTCACCTGTTGACTTGTCTTTCAGTGGAGACTTTCCAGAAACTGCACAAAGCAAAGGAAGTTCTGACCAACGAAGAGAGTCGAGCCCGCTATGACCACTGGCGAAGGAGCCAGATGGCGGTGCCTTTCCAGCAATGGGAAGCTCTGAGTGACTCCGTGAAAACGGTGGGTTTCTCTCTGGTGGGGTGTGAATTAGTGACACTCAGGTCGCCCAGGGGTTAGATTCATGGATTAAGAGTCAATAAGCAACAGGAGGGCGAAGTTTAAGAAGCTGATAAAGGTCGGCTAATTCGGTGTTCATAAAATCTTTTTAAAAAAAAATCATTTTATGACGAGGGCAATGAATGTACAAATGTGCTTTACACAATGGATGTATGTATGGATTGTGATAAGAGTCCGATGAGCCCCTAATAAAACGATTAAAAAAATAAATCATTTTATTGGGGCTCTTACAGCTCTTATAACAACCCACACATCGATTGTATCAAGCACATTTGTACATATGCTGCCATCATCATTTTCTTTTTTTTAAAAAAATTTTTTATTTTTTGCCATCATCATTTTCAAAACATTTTCTTTCTATTTGAGCCCTTGATATCAGCTCCTCTTTTTTCCCTTCTTCCCCCACCCCCTTACCCTCATGATCCCTTGATAAGTTATAAATTATTATTATTTTCATACGTTACACTGTCCACTGATTCCCTTCACTCACATTTCTGTTGTTCGTCTCCCTTGGGCGGTG